TGCTTTGGTGCTTTTCTTCTTTGATTTGATGAAGAATTGATTTGCAAGGATCTTTGGGCTTATTAGAGGAACCATCAGTTTAGAGTTTGGATGGGTCGAACGACATGAAGTTCCATCCATAATTGATAAGTGTTAAAAGATATTCCATGAGAACCTTTTTACCATCATAGGACTTGATGGTTAATGTTTTGACTCAATTAGAGCTTCGAGATCCAGTCCTACAACTTGTCGCACCTTTCAAATATGAACATTGTCTATCTTTTTCTCGATCTTCAACAAGTAAATTTTCTATGGAGGACTCTTTGTCTTAACCTCAAACTTCAACTTTCACTTTTCCTTCACTAGTCTCATAAGGTTGATATTTGGTCGTGGCCTCGGTCTCAGCCTCGAGTAAGGCCTCTTCTAGATGAAGTTCTCATTCTATACCATTATGCTATGACCCATTCCTAGCATATCTTTATGCAACCAAACAAATATGTTTGCATTAAGTCACGAGGAACTCGTCTATCTTCTGATGTGAGCACAATAGATTCTAGTCTCTCTAGGTTAGACCTCTTTGATTAGCCTTGGCTAACTCTCTGTGGTCGGAAGATTGATCGACATTAACCCAAACGGACAGGTTTGCCTCAACCAAAGAAGGGTCAACCTCAGACAAAGATGGGATGATCTTGACCAAAAGAATCAACTATTTCGTCTTAGTTTCTAGTAACAACAAGGAGAATATAAAGAACATATGCTCAAACATAGAAACCCCATATTACACATTTCCATTTCAAAGTTCCATCTAACAAAACTAAAAAGCAAAAGACGGCAATATTACACTACTCTATACTATGGTTAGTTAATATTCTTCTGTTAAGAGAAAAAACAAGAGATACCATCCTATTATCCCTGTACACAGGTTCGAGTTTAGCTCCACCACAATTGGTCTGATTTCGTGTTCCTCGGATCCGCTCCATATGATCAAACCTTCCTTAGGTTTGAAAGTAACGCATCACGCCCTGCCAAAACAATTTGGAAAAAGTTGTCGACTTCCTTTGACAGCAAATGTACACCTTCTGATAGTTTCTCTGCCTTTCCTCCCAACTCGGATATGACGTTCTTCAGCGGTTGAACTTCTTCGACTTCAGGATTCTCTGGGATCATTTGACGAAGATTGGCCACACATTGATCAATAGCTTCAAGCTCCTTCAGAGGGGTAAACTTTCCATGGGTGTATATACTTCTAATTTCACTATTTACATCACTTTGCAAGGAGGAGAAAGTTTGTCCCCACGAATATGTAGCGGCAATTTTCAGATCGAAGAGTTTTGGGGAACCTAAGAAGGCTGAGGCAAAGACACTGCACACAAAAACTGTCTGTACCTTGACCCCGTACAATGCGTGCATTAGAACCTTACCCTTGGCTGAGTTCTTAACTTTTGGAAGATCAAGAGATTCTACAAGGCTGTCTAAGATTACACAACAATTCTTAATTCTAGAATTTGTCGTGCTAATGTTCAGTCTCCATTCATCTAATGAAGCACGGGCTCGGGTGAGACGCTTTGAGTCCGCAGAATCCAAATTATGGGTGATGCATCGGAGCATGAGGTTGCTTTGGTTCAAGTGTGAAAGCTCTGAGCTAACAACGTTGCAGACATCGAGTAATTTCACACTGATGTCCAAATAGACATCGATCCATTTCTCATTCCAATCAGTCACAGGGAGCTCTAACTCCTTGATAAGATTTTTAACATCACTGTGAGTTTCACAAAGCAACTCCATAGCTAATATCATCCAAGAAAGGCTAAGAACATCATCCTTACCAGATGGATGGAGCTTTCTTAATCTTTCAGCAAGGTTTCTCTCAAAATCATTCAATATTGCCCAGAGTTTTGAAGAAAAATTCGAACCTTTGGGAGATATCGAGCGGAAAGGATTCCCAAAGGGGAAAAATTGTCTGTGTGGTTCCTGTGGGCGGCTCATTTCCGTGAACTAAGGTATTTATGAGATCTTGATGCTACAAAATGGCTGCAGAGAATATCAGATCACATAGTAAGGTACGATTCATTGATCGAATGAGGTAGAATTCTTCAGAAGTAAATTAAAATCAGGAAATAAAACCATATTGATAAAAAAAGTATCAAGTTTGAATTACATGTGAGTTCATGTTAAAGAATATTGCATTAGCAAACTTTCATCTACAATCAACAGCACTAAAATCTCCTTAGCCAATATGCTCAATAGTATACATGGAAGGTTGCAAAATGACATTGTTCTCTGCGCATAAAAGTCTAATTCTTCGTGCAAGGTCCTAGAACTCGATGTTAGACTTTCTAGTAACAGAATTTGCAGAGCATCAAACAACCAAAGACAGGAAACATAATTGAATAAACCCCATCACATCCTATTTTCCCAATTACAGAAAATTGGATATCGGGGTGGAGGAGACAGCCAGTAATTCTCATTATACAGCCTAAGTTTCAAGTACAAGGAAGGAAAGAAACAGAGAATCCTCTTATCTATAAAACTTTACAAAACATATCTCTTAAGCATAGATCTACAGATCCTACATCAAAACTAATACAGAATCCAAAAAAAAAAAAGACTAATTATCTTGAATTCGCCTTGTGTTGTGTTCCTGAGATTTCCAATCCACAAAAATCAAATTGAACCTCATAGAGTACATCCTTTTCATGGAATAACACAGAACCAAGGATAGAAACTGAGCCGTTCAGATACAAAGTCTTCAGATCTCCGTTTTCACATCTACTAATCTATCCTTTTAGCCGCAAACATAACATACATATTGTAAACCTCAAAGATCCATCAAACTTTCTTCGAAAAAATACTTCCAAGTAGCTAATTCAAAGAAGAAGAAGAAAAAAATATGGAGATCTGAACCTAATATTACGAGAAATCAAACAATACAGTATAAAAAGAAACAAATATCTGAAAAATAACTCACCTAAGAGATAGATCAACGAATTGATGAACCAACAGATGAACAGCATCGAAATCCTAAATATCCAGCGCCAAATCGAACAAAAAAAGAAGAAAAGAAAATCTAACAACTAGAAAAGCGAAAAAAGATCTCTACAACATGAAAAATAGAGCTAACATGCTAAAAAATTCATCCAAAAGAAACGATAAATAACAAGTGGTTGAAGAAAGGGCTCTGGGAATTTCCGGGAATTTCCGGGAATGTCAGTGGATCTAGAAAGAGAAGGTGTATGAGAAAACAAGGGCACGGAGACTTTGATAATGTTATTCATCGGTGACTGAAGGGGAGTCGTGGTTATGACGTGGCGGGACTTGATTGGGTTAAAATGGTGATTTTGACAAGGGTATTTTGGGAAAGTTGAAACGGAATATGTTAAGAAGAAAAAACAAACGCGGCATTCGGCATATTAGGGTTTCTTTGACAAATTCCTTTCCCATACTTTTCTAAATGACCATTTTGGGTTTTTTCTTTATTTAATTTAATTAAATATCTTAAACTTTTTAAAAAATAAAAAAATTGTTAAAAAAGTAAAATGTTTATTCGTAAAACATTTATTTGTTTATTTTTAAATATTTAATGAAAATTTACGACTCAATTTATCACTCAAATTTTCTATACATTAAAAAAAAATAATAATAAAAAGCTAGAAATGGTAGGGGCAAAAGCATAATTTGACTATCTTTGGACGGGTCTATCCGAGTATTCAATTATGGTGTTCTCTTCTTAGCTGTCGCCGCCTTTGACAAGTCCACATTTTCCCAACCTTTTCCAATTGAATAATTGAGTTTTCTTTTTATTTATTTATTTATTTTCTAAAAAATATTAAAAATTTAATCCTTTCATAAACTTAAATTTAGGGTTTATTGAAAAAAACATAATATTGGTTGAAGCTGTGGAGACAATAACTTAGACATGTTTGAAAGTGATTTTGAAATAGTTAAGCTCATTTTTAAAATTAATTTAATGTTTAGTTTCGCAAATTTAAAACACTATTTTATATACTCACAATTATTTAAAATAATGATTTTGAATTTGTAGTTTGCTTCGGAGTCATTTTGTGCCAGCAAAGTGTTCTAAAGATTTATTCTAACTTATTTAATTTTGATTGAATTATTTGACTTATTCTATTCTAAAGACTTGTTCTATGGTTGAGAATGCTCTCTGGGAAAAAATTATGGGTACATAAGTGGGACATTGATATGAACTACGACATCTCAATTGTACAATGAACTTAGGAAGTTGCTAAGAATGCTGTTTAAATTACCACAAGATAAAATAAAGTCAAGTTCTATTAAAGTTGAATTCAAGTTGCAATCAATCAATTTCACATTAAAAAGCAACAAAACCTTTAAGATAAGTTCAATGTGCTTTTAATTTATTCTTATATGGTTACAAATTATGATGAATGATTAAAATCTACATTTACGGTGTTTTGTTGTGTTTTAAATTTTAAGACTTTTAGCTAAACATGGTTATAAAGTACGAAACGTCAAAAAAAATTAGTGTATACCTTTGTAGTTAAGACTTGAAAAATGTAGTAAAAAAATATTTTTTTTTCTTCCCTCTAGCCGAGAGTCAGTTTCTTTATAATTTTATGTAGTTTAGATAGCACGTTTAGAATCATTCAAGTTACTTGTGATTCCATTGAACGACCCTGTTAGAGTCCCCCACAAGATATAATTGTAGATATGAAATACAATTTTCAGTAATGAACGACTCAACTCTTAAAGAAATAATTGAGTGATTCGAATCTTGATTAAGTGTGATCAAGGTAATCCAAATTTTACTTCTCCTAATTCCTTCTCGTTAGAGCTAAGTGTTCTTACTTTTCCACTCATAGCAAAGTTTCTTTGCAATTCCATTTAGTTTAGAACGTATGTTTAGAATCATTCAAACTTGACAAGATCGATTTTCCACGTGGAATGATTTGAATCTCGAATAAAAATTATCTATTAACTTTTAAAAACAAAAAGAGAAACTTTTATCCCTCAAATTCTCAATCAGCAGATTCCAATCATAGAAAAAGGTACGCACCAATCAACCAGCTGTATGCTATCTCATTCTTTCATGTTCCATCGGTACAAATCTCTATCTATTACACATACTTTAATAAACAAAAAGAAAAGAAAAAATCTCTCTGTTACATATAATTTCCTTACATTACCCCACAAAATATGATTTCTAAATCAAATTAAAACATTGACAAGAAAAGGTTTATGATCTAAGCTGTGTTCTTATGAGAAAGAAGAATCAGTCAGCACCTGGTTTCTTAAACCACAACCAAGCTCGAGTGGGTCTCAGAATTTGGTTCAGTAAAGCCATTTTAGGAACATTCCAGTGTTCTACATGCCTGAGAAATGGTGATTTTTTAGCAACGAAGATTCAGAAACACCAATGGATTTAGAGGTCTGCCTATAATAAAGTGGGTATTCATTCTTACCTGCTTACTTTTCCAGATCCTGCATCAAAATAATACTCTGTATATCCAGTTGCTGCAATATACAATATTTTGTTCAGAGTATTCACAGTAACTTCACAATACCTCTATACAAATTTAACACAAAACTTATCTTATACTCTATGACTTTTTTTTTTAAGAGAAAATGCATTAATCCATTAAAGGTAGTCTTAAATTTCCATCTTACTAGGGGTTGTATAGTCCAAAGTGATTTCGAACGGTAACGGCCCAAGCCCATCGCTAGCATATATTGTCCTCTTTGGGTTTTCCCTTTCAGGCTTCCCCTCAAGGTTTTTAAAATGTGTCGGTTAAAGAGAGGTTTCTACACCCTTACAAAGAATGCTTCGGATCTCACAATTCACCACCCTTTTAGGCCCAGCATCCTCACTGGCACTCGTTCTCTTCTCTAATCGATGTGGAACCCCTCAATATTTGTAACGACCCAAACCCACCGCTAGCAGATATTGTCCTATTTGAGTTTTCCCTTTCGAGCTTCTCCTCAAAGCTTTTATAAAATGCATCTGCTAGAGAGAGGTTTCCACACCCTTATAAAGAATGTTTCGTTCTCCTCCCCAACCGATGTGGGATCTCACTATCCACCCCCCTTCGGGGCCCAACAACCTTGCTAGTGTTCGTTCCCTTCTCAAATCGATGTGGGACCCTCCAATATTTGTAATGGCTCAAGCCCACCGCTAGCAAATATTGTCCACTTCGTGCTTTCCCTTTTGGGCTTCCCCTCAAGGTTTTTAAAATGCATATGCTAGAGAGAGATTTCCAAAGCCTTATAAAAAATTCTCCTCCCCAACCGATGTGGAATCTCAAAATCCACCCCCCTTCGGTACCCAATGTCCTCGTTGGCACACCGGCTGGTATTTGGCTCTAATACCATTCATAACTACCCAAGCCCACCGCTAGCAAAGATTGTCATCTTTGGGCTTTCCCTTTCGGGCTTCCCCTCAAAATTTTTAAAACGCATATGCTAGAGAGAGGTTTCCACACCCTTATAAAAAATGTTTTGTTCTCCTCTCTAACCGATGTGAGATCTCACATGAACATTTTAAGGTTAAAATTACTTTTTATTACCATTTCAAAGCAGAGAATGTTCTTAGAGAAAAAACTTAATTAGTGCTCATTCCAGATGTACTGCACTGAAAAAACACCATTCCAAGAAATTACCTCAAACTAACTCTGATGCATCATAAATTAAACATACCAGATAGAATTGGTCTCCAAGGAAATGACAAGATACAACTGAACTTCCAATGTCCAATGCCCTTGTCCTGTACTCAGTCCAATCAACCAACAATTCAACACTAAGCTTAGTAAACAAAAAACAGTAATCTCTATAGAATGAGCTCACCTCAAAATCCACCCATTTGGTAAGCTTCATGTTTGACTTATCAACAAGGGATCCAAAATTTGTACAGTTTCTTTTGAATCGGCTAAGACCTTTGAAAGAACCAGCCGGATCAGCAAATTCGCACTGCTCTTCATAAGCTTCAACAGTCAGGTTCCCTGATCGTCACCAAATAGAAATAAACAAAAGTTGGAAAAACTGCTCACAAGTTCTACAATGAGTGAGCCAAAGTTAATATAAGTGAACACATTCACTTCATTATTTTGCTAATTAGATTCTTTATACAATTTTTTCTAATTTTTTTATTCATTGAATTAGTATTTTTGAATGTTATGTTCTTCAACTTGAAATTTACATAGATAAAAAGGTTTGAATCTCATTCTTTTACTATAGAGTTGGAGCTTTTTGTAACAGCCCAAGCCTACCGCTAGGATATTTCCCTCTTAGAGTTTTCCCTTTCGAGATTCCTCTCAAAGTTTTTAAAACACGTCTACTAGGGAGAAGTTTCCACATCCTTATAGAGAATGCTTTGTTTCCTCCGCAAGCAATCTGGGATCTCATACTTTTATCCCTATATTTAGGGACACCTACACTTGACCCCAAGGCCCAAACCCATGAGACATCGAGGGTTTTTGGGATTAAGCTCACCCAAAGGATCGGACTTGGGTCCTCTAAACCGGTATGACCAAGAGACCTCAAGCCCTTGCCAACTAGTCTGCCCCTCATGGGATACTCATTCTTTTACTTTGAAGAGGTCACTTTTAGTCGATAAACTTTTGTAGTTGATTTACAAATTTAGTCTAGAACTATTAAAGCTTGTGTCTCAATATCTTCAAAAAGGTCTCGAACTTTTATGTTTGTGTCTAACATATTCGTAAATTTTTAAAATATCAATTAGATTCCTAAACTTTTCATTTTGTGCGTAATAGTTTCTTGTGGTATTCGAAAAAGTAACTTATATGTTAGATATAAAATGAACTTTTATGCCTACGACTCTGCACTTTCAATTTAGTGTCTAACCAAGCCTAAATATTTTGTTCGAACACTAAACTTATAATTTAAGTACTGATTTTCCATTCCCAAACATCTTTTTCATATAAACAAACTCTTGATTAAGAATTGGCTAAGAACAACTTGAACTGAACAAAACAAACTATCCTGATTTCAAAAGAACCCTAGAACTCTAGAACTTCCAAACTTCCAGATAAAAAAACAGCTCTCGCATAAACAAAAATTTCCCAAACCTGTGACGAAGTACGACCGCTCAAAATCCTTCTTAATCGTTTCCACAATCACAGGGCGACGAATTGCACCGGACACATCTCTCGTGAGCTCCTGAGCCCTAACAGGCGTTTCAACATCCGTCGGCGGACGGAGAAATGAAGCGGCGATCCCCAAGAGCTCGGAGCCATACCAAGCGACCTTCAGCACCGCATTCTCGGGCTTAGATTCTCGATTCTTCGGCGAATCGGTAGCGGGATTGTCCCCTTGACACCGGATTGTGCAGATCTTGAGAGGGCGATTAGGTCGAATGGCGTTGAGAGATGTTCGAAGAGATGTACGTGATTGAAAAGGGAAGATCGTCGCCATTGCAATTTACAAACATGGATGGTTTGGTAGTTGATTGAATCAGAATGCTTTGGAGCTTTGCCGCGCGAAAACGAATGGCAGCCATGAGAGCTGAAAATATCTTCTTCCCAAGTTTATTGCGGAAAAATTTTATGTTCGGCTAGATAGATAAAAATGTCTTTTAAGGTAAATATATTTATTTACTTTATATGATATATTTATGTAGCTCGTTACGTATCATCGTTTATAAAGTGTCCCCAAATATTGTCCATTTTGACCAGTTACGTATCTTCTTTAACCTCAGTTTGTTAGTGAGAGGTTTTCACGCGCTTTTAAAGAATGTTTCATTCTCTTCTCAAATCAATGTAGAATCTCACAATCTATCGCCCTTACAGCCCAACATCCTAATTGGCACATCGCTTGATGTCTGGCTTTGATATCAATTGTAACAAGGTTCTATATTGAGGCTCAACATCCTTATTGGTACACTGTTCGCTATCTAGCTTTAATACCATTTGTAACTATCCAAGTTTATTATTAACAAATATTATCCATTTTAATAGTTGTTAACCTCATAATTTTTTAAAAAGACGTGGAGAGGTTTCACAAATTTCATTTAAGTTTGGTTCCATCCAAAACAAATACAAATAATATAAAAAATATTGAGAGAAATGCATTATTTTATATTTCATGTATATAATAAATAAAATTATGTGTTATTTTTAGAATATGCATGATCCATGCTTCTAGAAATGCATGATTCCTATCAAGTTATTAATTAATCTTGCTTTTATTATTATCTATTATCTTTCTCGAGAGGTCGATCACGTCTGATATTTTAGTCGAAAATGAAGGAATTAATATTTTTTGTTTTAAAAACTTTTAATAATAGTCAAGTAACCAAGTATTGCGATAGTGAAGGCGTAGTTGAAATTCTAAGAAAAAGTTGATGCAAATGTTTAGATCAAAGATATTCGCGAGACGGCCCAAGAATCTCGTGAATCGAGCATGGGGCTTAAAGACCCTACTACATTTCGGCATTGAGGCCTGAAATTGTCGTTTCTCATTTTTCACTAATGAATAGTGAATTTCCTTTTTAAGGATTCTGACTTTTTTTTTTTTTAATAATATGAACTTAAGATATTACATCATCTACTTTTAAAATAATAATTGAATTCTTATTTAATCATGCCGTCGTACATGTAACAATAATTAAATAATTAAATATTAATCAAATAATTCTAGACGATATATTGATCGGAGTGAAAATAACGTTTTATTATAAATAAAAAAATTCATTTAATCGAAACACAATCAATTGAAAACGAAACTTTTTAAAGTATTAATTTACCTAATGAGATGAGCGTACACTATATCTTACATCAATTTAAACACTCCAATTATATTTAAAAGGAAAAATTAGGTCGTTTATAATTGAGATGTCGGTGATTTGAGTTTAATCATTTTTTAGAATTAACATAAATGTAATTGGTTCGAATAGTTCGAGTCATTTATTCAATTTAATTCATAAAATTTCGTTTTTATTTAATTAAACTCAACTAAAGTAAGTTCATAACTCAACCTAGACAGTACGAGATAGGTTGGTTTAGGTTGGATCGAATTTGTAAGAGGACAAAGCCACTTGTGCTATCACTTACTTTTCTTGAAGTATTGGCAAAGTGTCAGCAATTTTTGGACTTATTCTCCAAGATTCTTTGTCCTTGCCAAATTAAATTAACATTTTTGTCTTTTATTTTATTTTAATTTTGCCCTTTTTATTTTGTTTTCGAATTATAATAAAATTATAAATTTAATTTCCAAAGTTTAAAATAAAAAAAATATATAGATTATTTGATATTAAACCCCAACATTTTTTTAAACTCTTGAATTTAAAAATAATGTCGAAGTTTTATTTTTGATTAAGTACGTGTATATATATATTATTTATTTAATTTTATAATTATTATTCTAAAAAAATAAAAATTTAAATAAATAATTTTATTCCAGTCACTCGAAAGTTCCCAACTATTATATTAAAATTTTGACGTAAATTTATAAAAGTGAACGATAAGATTAATTAAATATAAAATTAAAAATTAAAACTTTTTAAATAAACTAATATACGTGTAATTTAGATTTTTTTTTCTCACCACACGTGTACTGTATTTATTATATTTACTAGCTCCAATTGTCCTACGTGGAAAATTTTAATTTCCCATAATTATTTAACAAAAAGGAAAATAATTACTAATAAACAATTGCCATCATTCTTTTCTTACTACGGAAAACGACGTCATTTTCCTGATCAGAACCGAACTAATATAAAAAAAATTTACCCAATAAATAAATAAATAAATTTTTCAATAAAGTGATGTTGACACGTCACCTTATAATCGCACGTCATCTTAATCGCATTGTCAACGTGGCAGCCATCTACGGTGGGTGGTGGTAGTGGGGCCCACTATTAGCCGCCCAGATTGCGAAAACCCGTGGATGCGCTTTTCTGACGATGACCAGCAGTGGGACCTACACAACTGGATTATTTATTTATTTATTTATTTATTTTCCTATAATGAATGATATGGCCTAAAATGACTGCTAAACTTAAGCCCCCACCACCACCGCCACCACCACCACCAACCACAATTAAGGTACGCTTGGTTTCTCACGCGCCGCCGTATCCTTGTGGATTCTTTTTAAATTTTTGACTGTGGTCGCCAAATGTGTGTATAAATCCCGAAGGGTCACGTGGCGCGTGGTTCTCATGCGCTGCCGTCTTGTGGGGGTGGGAGTGGTGGATGGTATTTGGTTTATGGTCCTCTTGGTGGTTTGACTGTGTAAGCAATTTAAATTGAATATCTTAGATATATTCATATTTTCATCATCAATAAAATCTACATTTTTTTTTTTTACATCAACATTTAAAAAATATATTTGTTCCCGAAAAAATAAATTTGGCTGAAAAAAGATTTATTTATAGAGAAAGAAAAAACTCTATCATAACTCGAGATTCTAGCCCATTGTCCCAATATTTACCAAAATTTCTTCAAGCACATGCACGTGTTATCTCGTCAAGTTCTATAGTATCGAGACGGTACGAGCACCATACCAACTTTATCGTCACAACTAGAATGGCATAGAGTTGTTGCAACACTTCTTTCTAAATCACTTTCTTCTTTTTCTCTTCAATTATTAGCATTTAATTTCATTTTTTTCTATAAATTTTTTTTTGAAAAAGACTCGAAAATATAAAAAATAGTTTTATATTTTTAGATGGCATTTGAGTTTACATGATTATATATCATAGACGTTTTAGAACAATGAAGCTACGAGAATAGGTTAAACCAAAATCATATGCTAGGTTACAGAAGTCTATGCCCATGTTTACGATTTTAATTTAAAGCAGTCATAGTTTTAGACCCTCGGTCGCGGGAGTAGAAAAGATCCTCACACATCATCCATTTATAATTTTTTAGAATTTTACTCTATAAATATTTACTTTTAAAAAATTAAGGTTATAAATCTTCCTTTATTTTTTTTTAATCCACTAACAAATAATTTTTTTTAAACATTTTAACCACAAAAATACTATAATAAATTTTGCATGAGAGGTTAAAGGAGAAGACTTGCGTTCTTTTACACATAAGTGCGCGTGGGTTCAAAACCCACCGTCTGCGGAAAGAAAATTGTGTTTTATTAATAATTTTGCATAAATTTTTTCGTATATTGTAGACATACTATGATGTGGTAGAAATATTAAATAGGGTCGTTACACACATTTTTAATGGTTTATCTCACACATTTAGTAGCACATGCCACCTTGTAGTGGATTCCTTCAATATATATTTTTTTTTGAGTGTTTTAATCAATTTTCATAATTTGGAGGCATTTCGACAAATTTGATACTAAAAAATAGCATTTATCTCAAATATTCAAAATTTAATAGGTTAAACAATCACGTTGGAGCAGATTTTTAACAGCTAAAACTCACTACTAGTAGATATTGTGTTATTTAGGTTTTTCTTTCCGAGCTTCTCCTCAAGATTTTAAAACACATGTACTAGAGAGAGGTTTACACACTTTTACCAAAACTGTTTCATTTTACTTTCCACCGGATGTGAAATCTCACAAAATCTATATAAAGTTCAGAAGCATTTTGTTTAATATTTAAAAATTATTTGGTAGTTAACCATACCTAAAAGGGAATGCTAATTAGACCCAAGCTAGAAGGATACCACCAGGCACCTGGTGCCTCGATTAATAGAACTTAGACCATAACCTTAGCCACCCATTTAGACTATTACGGCCCACAAGTGGACTTGATTAGCAAAACTTGGACCGTAACCTTGGCCAACCAGTCATGACAAAGAGAACTAGATCATAACCGGCGCGTGACTTTCACGCGCCGCCTATGAAAAGTGGTAGAAAATGAGAAAAAGGCAAAAATAGAAAACAAATCTCGAAGATCTAGGGAAAGTGGGACCAAGAATGAGCCATCCAAAGAGGATTTGAAGACAAAAGGCGGCGCGTGGATGTCACGTTGAACAACCCACTAAGCATATTAACAAATGAAACGCATCAATGCATGGGTTTTTTTTAGAAGCGAGGACATAGTGGTGGCTCTCTCTCTCTCTCTCATATACGATACCGTCAAATCTCCACGATCTCTCATTTTTCTTCAAAAACAGCTACACTCTCTCTCTCTAACTTTATCCCACCATTTTATCCCTCTCTTCTCCTCTGCCATTTCTTGTTTGGACTCAAAAACCTTTACCATTTTCTCTCTCTCTTCTATTTGTACTACGACTCCCCACAAAACTAAGCATAATTCTACTTGTTCTCTTCTTCTTCATCATCTCTCTCTCTCTCTCTCTCTCTCTCATCAATACCCATTTGTTCTTATCCTTTCTCATCAACAACGCACCTATGAAGGTCTCTTCTTTTTCTTATTTGATCTAAAAAACAATGCCCTTTTCTCTTTCTTTTATGTTTGTTACGAGAATCCAAGACGTGGGTATTAGAGATTGGATTCTCTCATGTTGGATTCCCACAAAAAAATCAAATCTTTACTTTCTTTTTTCAATTTTCGTGGATTCCGATGATGTTTTTCTCGTGGGTTTTTCATTTTTGTTGAAATAGATCGAATTAGATCTCTTAATTTTGGATTTGGGATTTGCAGAAGTTCATATTGAAGCTTGATTTACACGATGACAAGGCCAAACAAAAGGCTTTGAAGACCGTATCAACACTTTCAGGTTCTTTTTGTTCTATGTTTTTCTTTCCTATGATGTTTTTTTTTTTTTTTTTTTTTTGTTTTGTTTTTCCTTTGAAGTGAAGCTAATTCTTAATCTCATAGGATTGCTTAGAGACATAATTTCTTTGAAAATTAAATGTCTTTGTCAAGACAAATTCTGTTGGTTGTTTGTGTATGTTGATCGATTTTGATCCTCTAACTTACCCAAACCCCACCACCAAACCTAACCCACATGCCCTTTGGCTGCTTTTCACTTTTCATTAAAAAAGAATGATTAACAATTTTTTATCATTTATAAAAAAAAAAAAAAAAAAACCCATTTCAAAAATTTTCCATCCACAATATTCTTTGAACTTTAAATCAACCTTGATTTTGGTCTAATAAGGAATATTCTTCCTAGAGAAAAAGATGGCTCATCTAACACCCTCAATTATATGAAACGATCACGTAATCTTCGATTTTGATATCGTGTAAAACGATTATAGTTCAATCAGCTAAAAGTTTAAGCGTATAGATAAATATCTAGATATTTGTTTTCTATTACGACTTATCATAAGCATCATATTTGCTCTTTTAGTATAAATAAATATTTTGTATCCATTTATTGTTCTTTCTTAAATGATTATAAATTGGCAGGAATTGATTCAATTGCGATGGACATGAAGGAGAAGAAGCTGACAGTAATTGGGACAGTGGATCCAGTGAATGTAGTAAGCAAGCTGAGGAAGTATTGGCCAACAGACATAATCTCAGTAGGGCCAGCAGTGGAGCCAAAGAAGGAGGAGCCAAAGAAGGAGGAGCCCAAAAAAGAGGAACCAAAGAAAGAAGAAGAGGGTAAGAAGGAGGAGCCAAAGAAAGAAGGAGAGGCTAAAAAAGACGACGCGAAGAAAGACGAGCCGAAGAAGGAGGACGACAAGAAAGACGAGTCGAAGAAAGACGGTGAAAAGAAGGAGGACGAGAAGAAGAAAGAGCCACCGCCAGTCGCTGTGCCAGCACCAATGCCGATACCGATGCCAATGCCGATGCATATGCCGATGCCGATGCCGATGCCTATGTATATGCAGCAACCTGACCCAGTAATGGACATGGTCAAGGCTCATAGACCATATAACCCTCACTTGACCAGTCATTACCATGTCCACAGCATGGAAGAGAACCCAAATGCTTGTGTTATTTGTTGAGTATTACAATTTCTATGGTGCCTTAAGCCAAGGCATTTTGGAAGCCAAACCTACTACCCCTTTGAAGCTAAAGCTCTCTCTTGTAGATAAAAAAAAAAAAAAAAAAAAAAAAAAAAAAAAAAAAAAAAAAAAAAAAAAAAAAAAAAAAAAAAAAAAAAAAAAAAAAAAACAAACAAATATTATGGCTTTTTGGTGTTTTATTTACCCAATATTTTAGTTTAATGTGTAGAAATATTCAATAATTTTGGCTCTTTTTTACTATTTTACTCTAAACTTTCAAATGTTAAAGTCAAAAAGTAAACTTAATGTTCCATCTATGATATTAATTATATTGTGAAATTTTCAATGTCAAAGGGGTAGTAATGTGTGGAGTTAGGTAGTTGGTCAAAATAAAACATAACCCCCATTAAATAAAGAACATAAAATTTCAAAGCTACGATTGCAATATCGAGCTCCCATCAAATCAAATTGAGATGTGTTGATGTGTCAAAGGTATACACGTAGAGACTCTTACAAGTTCTTAATTCTATGTACATGTCAAATTCCATGTTGGTTGGAGAGGGGGATGAAATATTCATTAGAAGAGTGTGGAAAATTTTCTTTAGTAGACGCTTGAGGGGAAACTCGAAAAGGAAAGCCCAAAGAGAACAATATAGTAGCAGTGAGCTTGGATTGTTACAAATAGTATTAAAGCCAGATACCGAGTCATGTGCTAGTGAGGAGACTAAGCCACTAATGAGGTGGATTGTGAGATTTCACATTGGCTGGAGAGGGGAAGGAGTGTCAGCGTCTTTATAAGGGTGTGAACATCTCTCTCTAGTAGATGCATTTTAAAAACCTTGAGGGGAAACTCAAAAAGAAAATCCCAAAGAGGACAATATTTGCTAGGGTGGACTTGGGCTGTTACAAATGATATTATAACCAGACACTATGTGCCAGCAAAGACACTGGGCCACAAATGAGGGAGGATTGTGAAATTTTACATCAGTTGGAGAGGGGAAAGAGTGCCAGCAAGAACATTGGACCCCGAAAAGGGGTGGATTGTGAGATCCCCATTGATTGGGGCAGGGGAACGAATGCCAGCAAGAATGCTGGGCTCCGGGGGGGGGAGGGGGGGAGATTGTGAGATCCCACCTCGAGTGTAGATGGGAACGAAACATTCCTTATAAGGGTGTGAAAATCTCTGCTTAATAAACGCGTGCCCGAAAGGGAAAGTTCAAAGAAGACAATACCTACTAACGGTGAGCTTAAACTTTTACAATACTAGCTCGTGACCTCATAATTTATCACAAAAAGATTTCTCGACACTAACCCACCAGACCCTAATTCCTCTTTTACATCACATGGGTATGTGTTCTAGGACAAAGAAATGCACTTAAAAAGATGGCAACATAAAGTTGTTTCTTTTTGAGGATGTGATAATTAATTTATGAAGGGTGTTTATTAGAAAGAGTTGGATGATTATTGGTTGCTTTCTTGGAGTTTTGGTGGATGATATGCATTTTGAATAGGGTTTTGTGGGGCTTGTTTGGAGCTAATGGAGACCTCCCTCTTTCTTGTATGTGTGTGGAGGATATGAATAATTGGCTCTCTTCTTCCACCTCCAAAAGAAATGGCATTATGTTGTTGGAAAGATGTTACCTTGGAGAATTTTTTCTTTGTCAATTAATAATGCATCACTTTCTATTCAAACAGAATATTTTCATGTCTTTCCAAATAAAATAGAGACAATATTGTATACAACAATATCGTACCATGTGGGAACAAGTTCGATTCATTATCTTCGATTTTCATTTTTAAAATCATCAAGTTTTTCGATTGGATATAACCTTTTTGCTTTTGAATTTTAGTTTTAAGAACAAAGATATTAAAATGAGAGCGATCCTGAATATATGATGATTAAGAGAGGTTAGAAGAATTGAAAGTTACCACTATACTAATAAGGTGAACCTTTCTTTTCGGTAGCTTAATCATAAGAACTCCAAAATTAAGTGTGTTTTGCATGGAACAATTATATATTTGGTGGGCTCGTGTGAATTTTCGTAAGATGCATGTGAGTAAAGACAAAACATGCTGAAAGAACCTGTATTAGTTTGTGGGAATAGTTATAAATCTTAAAAGCGAGAAATAAGTAACCTAACCATAACACAGGGGAATGTTGGACATTATCGTTCATAGCAACTCCAAGTTTAGCGTGTTTTGCATGGAACAATTCTATGTTGGATGACATGTTGGAAATTTTCCTAAAATGCATGTGAATGAGGACAAAATATGCTGAAAGGATTTGTGTTGATTTGTGGGGATAGTTATCACTCTTAAAATCGAGAAAAAAGTAACGTGACCGTAACGCAGAGGATGCATGGGAATGTTGAACATTATCGTTTATATATTTTCGATGCAAGACCACCGTTACCTTTTATCATTTCGTTGTACACCTTACTATTTGTCCCCTTGGGCTTATTTAACCTAGTGGTCTCAATGTCGGTGTAGCTCAACTAAGGTCATATCGCTAGTTCCTTTAAGCTTATTAGTACGTAGTGTTACTATTAGAGTATTTTCCTTAATCAAATCACATGTCATATGCATGAATGACCTTACAACTAATAGGGCACTAACGTAGTCAAATCACATATCTTATAATGAGTGACCTAGCAAATGTTAAGGGCGCTATCCTAGTCAAAACACATGTAGTTTAGGAGTGACCTTACAATAATTAAGGCACTACTTTGGTTAAATCATCTATCGTTAGAGAGTGACTTTGTACCAATTAGGGCACTACTTTGGTAAAATCACATAGCTTAATGACTACTAATCAAGCTACTTATCATCCATTAATCATTTAATATACCTCAATTGTCTAACTCAATCATGTTCTAATCATATTTTTGACGGAAAATTTTTGTGGTTTAATCAAATTCTGAAATCAAAGCTCATCCCGACGATGGTTTAATTATCGTGGTTTTTCAGTAATGGTGTTTGTTCTATCAGCAAAAAGTCTATACTTTTGCCGACTTATTGGTTAACTATTCCTTTCAATTTCAATTTGCCATACAACTGTTCGTGGGTTGGATTGGGTTGAATTGAAATGGTTTTTAGATCTAACTAAACTGTTCGAGTTTTAACTCTTATTAAATAATGAACTCAACTCAACCCAACCCAACCGAATCTTAAAGTTTTGAATTGGATTTGTTTGGGTTTGTCATGGCCATATTTGTGGGTTGGGTTGGGTTCCACTGAGACATTTTTTAGACCTAATTCAATTGTTTTGATGGTAAATCTTTTCAACAAAAATAGCTTTTATTAAATAATGAACTCAACCCAGTTCAACTATAAATGTTTAGGTTGGGCTAGTTCACGATGTTTGAATCATTTATTTAATTTTTTTTATTTTTAATAAAAGTAAAATATTAGTTGGTAAAACATGTATTTATTTATTTTCAAATATTTAATTAATATTTACTTTTCCATTAAAATTGCATTTTAAAAATAGTTAAAAATTATTTTTAAAAGTGGTAAAATTATTTTTAAAAGTGGTACAATAAATAATAAAAGTAATTATGAAACTAAATAAAAATAAAAATATGTATATATAATTACATCATAAAAATGAATTTAGTTGGTTCCATTAACACGTTATAATTTGTAAAGGTATTCACGAACCAACTCAATCTACAAAGTTTCATTTATTTTAACTTAATTCTATACAAGCAAGTTCGTAACTCAACTGAAACTATATATATATTGAGTTAAGTTGATCGGATTTTTCAAATTAAAATTTGGTTGATTATCTTCTCATTATTCTATCAACCTTTGCATCGTTCTTTGTCACAAAAACAAATCCTCACTAACCATACTATTAATTGTGCTCTAACGTAAAAAAAAAAACGTTTGTTTATGTATACTTTAATGATTTATATTTCTAGATTCACTAAAAAGTTCATGTACAAACAAAATAGTCGATCACAAAGACTATATTCAGAAGCCAATTTTTATTTTAATTCGACTCGATTTGAAATTATGTTTTTTTTTTTTTCAAATCTAGATAAAGAAAAACAAAAATCTCTCCAAAATTCGATCTCCATTGACTTTTTGGTATCGATCCCTTAATGAACGTGGGTTTGATTTTAGAAGCCCTATTGAATTTTCTTGTTTGAATTTATTAATCTTCTTTGAATGCGATTGACCCATTGATTTGGTTGAGACTCAAAAACCCCAAAACATATATATACGTTTATACCATAAAAAGGTTGAACACGAACTATTACAAATTTAAGTTAATATCACAAAAGTGTTTCGACACATCCGAGTAAAAGTGACCAAAAGCTTAACTTTTTTAAAACAAACTTTGAACCTTTTAACTTTTTATATGAATTGAAAATAACAACAAAATGTTAACATCGTACTGACATCATTATCTTTAACAATTTTCCACCGACCATACTACTAATCGTAGTCTTAAATGAAAGTTCTTATTTTCGTTCTCAAATATTCTAAATAGTTACACATTCGTTTTTATTTATTCATCGTTCAACAGCTATTCTTGTGCATTATTTTCTTCCGTTTATCAATTTACATTTCTAGATCTACTAAAAGTTCATAAACAAACAAAATAGTCGATCCCAGTCGATCCCACCGACCATCTTCACATAGAAATCAATTTTTATTTTAATTCGACTCATTTTGAAATTATCTTATTTCCCCAAAATTCATCTCCTTCAACATTTTGGTGCCAATCCATTAATGAACGTGGGGTTGGATTAGAAGTCCATTGGGTTTTGTTGTATGATTTAATTATTTTCTTTTTGCCAACTTTTTCGTGGTCAAGCCCATCGATTTAAATATTTATTATTTGTTTCTTATCATTTTCTTATAAGCTAATACGGTAAGTTTCTATTTGAGCTAGAAGATTCATATTGGTTTGTGGGATTGTCTAAACGTGACCATTTTGTAGGAGATGCAAGAGAATAATGAGACATACATGTGCTGAATTCAGATTCGGAATTGTTTCAAATCCTAAGTATGGATACTTCGTAGAAGTTGAAAAACTATGCACTACCTCAAACGAGTGAACAATAATATTACCTTTCTTTCGCCCCCATACTCGAAGAAAGCTTGGGACGCTACATAAGAAGTTAAATTAGGTATCATTGAAATAGGATATATTTGTACTTGTATGATGTATTGTCTACTTTGAGTTAAATCCTCTTCATTTTACACTAGTGCAGTTGGATTAAACATCTGA